CCCTCACCCCCCCGCGTTGGAATTTCGAAAAATCCTTTCTTAGTGTGCGTTTCCATGACGTACCCTAACTGTGTACCAAATTTCACCTCTTTAGGTTAAGCGGTTTGCTCTGGGCGATGATGAATCAGTGAATGAATGAGTGAGTCAGTCAGGACAAGCAATTTTATATATTTAGATTATTATAAAATAACAAAAACAGTAATTTTGAGGCTAGGGATGGGTTTTATAAAAATTATAAATGCTAATAAAGAGTAAAATCGCCAATAAATCCGACCCTATTTGAGATACATAAGAACCACTTTATCTCTTCACCTCCTCGACATTTAATCACCAAAATTTAATATCATAAATCCACCTAGTATGTTCACCTTCGTGCGAAATTTCAGAACTTTTCGACCAAAAATACAGGAGTTATTAAGCTTCAAAAGAGGACGAACAAAATCGTGCCCTGCATACACCTAACACAGAAAAAGACCCCCGAATTTTTTTGCATTTCTCGACGTTTAAAGGTGTCCTGAATCCAAAACGTCATAAATTTGGGGGTGTCTTTTTTGATCTATCGCCATATTTTCCTTCTGTTGTGTATAACAGCCCGGAAAGTAATAAAGTTAATAGTGTCGTCTTTGGTCTCCTTCTCTAATTTTCTATTGGAAAGTGTAATGTGGGATTTATACAACCTCGTAACGTTGACGGTATCAATTATCAGTGATATGGAGGAAAGAATGTTATGAAGTAGAAGGGAACTCACCTGTTTCCACTGGAGGAACGAAGATTCCATCTTGATTAAGAGTGGCGAAACTATTTGTTCCCTTGTATTGGAAGGAATACATAAAGGTTCGAGTTTCCAATCTGGAGTATAGTTGAAGAGTTTTGTCCATACAAGACACGTACATTCCGTCCGTCGACATCTATAAAGACGATTCATTAATGTTATATTATTATTATTTTTTTTTAAAGTCGCCAAATTCGAAGAGAAAGATCAGCCTTACGTTGATAAACGGCCGTAAGATTTGCGTGGAATTCGTGGGATTCACCCCTCCAAAATAATTATACATCAGCTCTTGAACTACTTCTTCGACGTTCCTCCTGAAGTTGGTAGCTGCCTCCAAGAAAAGAGGAAGAAGCTTCTGTTGAAGAAAATCGGACGACGATCGAATTTCTTCTTTGTATTTATAGAAGATGACTGCCAAAGAATACTAGAAACGATTAGACCCGCTTACTATCAAAATTATGGGGTAGAAAACCAAGTAATTGAAGTGTATTTAAATTAAATAAGCAACGAAAGGGATTCGTTTCTAAATACAGTTGACCCCCCTATAACACTATTGATTTTTCCGTTTTATATGAATTTCATGTTGTACGAGTCACTTAGATTTTACAAATACGTGAACCGTTCACAACCCGGCACACGTATTTGTAAAATCTAAGTGACTCGTACAACATGGAATTCATATAAAACGGAAAAATCAACAGTGTTATAGGGGGGTCGACTGTAATTACAGACCGAAAATTCGGGTTTCTTCGTAAATGTGTAGTAATGAGGAATAGATTATAATTACTTATTGAAAGTTCTATAAACTCTGGCTTGTGTTAAACCGAAATTAAGAAAATTCTCAATAAAATCTGATATATTCAATCATTAATTTAGAATTCAATGCATGAACCATTACAATGTAAGAAGTGAATTATTCCAGGATATAATAGGACGTTTGCATGTTGCACCAATTACATTCTTCTCTGTAACTTATAATTCTTTAATCACTGTTTTTTTTTTTCTACACGAGTCAATGCCTGTTTTAATTCTGAATTTATTACATCTATATTTATAGAAAGGCAGTTCGTTGGAATAAATCCGACAAGTAAAAATACAAAATAATCGTAAATCTGAAGCTCATATTTTTAATTTATTTAATTTTAAATATACGTTCTCCATCTCAAATTAGTAGTATCTTGCCCCTGTACATCATACTTTTCCTTTAGCAATCGAGTCGTGCCAATCATTTATCTAACACCTTTCAGGAGAAAACTTTTAAATTGAAATAACCTAACTTTCTGTTTGTATGGAAAGTCCGTATATAATTAACCAGGACCTCCTACCTTTAAGTATAATTTTACATAAGAAAAATTGTCGTTCTAGATCTAATTACATATATAGACACTAGAGCATATATTATATATCGTGTATATAACACAATACAAAGTTTAAACTTGGTTCCTAATCGTGTAAAAATCCGAAAAGTTAACTTACGAGGGTAGAAAAAGGCTCCTTCGTCTCTATTTACACCCGCCATGAGAGGAACGGGATGAAAATTGCCCATTTGGAGAAGAACTTCGGGATGATCCGGGAGGAATCTGTACGTACTATTTTTATCTAAAACGGGAGCAGCTCCCACCGGAAAATCGCCAAATGTCTGAAAAATTAAACAGAATGAATCGTTATTATATAATTTCGTTTACATTTCGAAAAGTTTAGATCTTGATTTTAGTAATATTGCCCCTGTACATCATACTTTTCCTGTTAACAAGAGAGTCACGCCGATCATCTATCTGTTCTGAATAAACTTTTTGAGTTGAAATATGTTTAATATATAACCTCATAAATGTAAATGTGTAGAAATAAATATTTGGCTACAGAAAATCATTTATTTCTCTACTATTTTTACCGAATTTACCGGTAAAAAATGTAAAATTACTGGTATATTTTACCATATATTTAAACTGATTATCTGATTTACCAGTAATGCAGTTCTATTTCGTAAGTGTCGGTAATTTTACCTTTTCTATTTGTTTTTAATGCTTATCAGTTATTTTATAAATTATTAACTTTTGTTTTGTATTCTCTCTTCATCAAATATTTAACGTTCTTATTTGAAAAAGCACTTTCCACGAATACACAAGACGATTCTCTTCTTTCACTGGGAAAGTTTCTTACGTGTTTATTATCGTATATGTTCGTTAATCAATGTACTGTACTTTATTAACTTTTTCGTATTATAACTGAAATTATGTATACTTTTTGGTATAAGTGAAGAGGATTACATATTGTTTATACAATACAGATGGGAAATGAATACAGTTGTATTAATTTACCCCCTGTTATAGAATATTACATGGGGAAAACATGGTAATCGTCAAATTTCTCTATGTTTTGACATTTCATGAATAGAAAATTGTAAAAAACAATTAGTACACACGAACACAGATAGAAATTTGTATAATCGACCCCCCCCCCTATAACACTGTTGATTATTCCGTTCTATATGAATTCCATGTTGTACGAGTCACTTAGATTTTACAAATACGTGTGCCGGGCTGTGAATGGTTCACGTATTTGTAAAATCTAAGTGACTCGTACAACATGGAATTCATATAAAACGGAATTATCAAGGGTACCAAGGAACCGAAGGGAGTTTTGGAAACTCATACCTATAAATGCAAACATCAGAAAAAGGGACGTTCTGGATCTATCCAGAACTTACAAACAGAGATACGAAACAGAAATCGAAAAGAATGGGTAATATGAATGGACTTACCTTCAGTTCTTGTTGGGCGTGAATGATGGCATCTGTAGACTGTTCCTTCAGGCACTTGACAATGTACGCCGAGTTGCGCGTGTCACATCCCAATTTTTCGGCCAGGGCGACGGCGTATTTCTCGGGATCGTCCTGAATGGCCCAATCGCAGAGAGGAGATCCGCTCTGTAGAATCACTCTGTGAAACATCCCGACTATAAAACGAGAGAGAAAATTAATCGCCACGTCCGACGGAGAAGCGACGAACGATCAGAAACGTACCTTGACGAGAGGGAGAGAGCAAGTGTAGAAGGATACTGGCCGCTCCGCTTCCTTGACCGAAAAGGGTGACGGCGTTGGCGTCGCCGCCGAATTTGGCGATATTGTTGAACACCCAACCGATGGCCAGTTTCTGGTCGAGAAGACCGTAGTTACCGGGTGATTCGAAATCTCCCGTACTCAAAAATCCTGAAAGACGGAAGAACTCGAACCCGTTACTTTCACGTTGGTTCCGGAAGATAAACGTAAATCGAAAATTACTATTACACGATAATTGTTATAAAACAACTCGATTTTACTTAAACACCAGCAAAAAATTCTAAAGATCCGGTCGACTGTATTCCCATATGGAAGTTGCGGATGTTTACGTAATCAGACATTTGTGGGACGTTCTTACCTAACACTCCGATCCTATAGTTAAAAGTGACCAGGATCACTCCTTTGTCCATCAGATTTTCAGCTCCGTACAGGTTTCCGGATCCGGAATCGTAATTTCGTCCGTGAATCCACAGCATGACGGGATAAGTGACGGATCTTCTCGTCGTTACCTGAAACGTCGGTGGAGAGGTTGGGTGAGGCTATAGGGAAATCCGAGCTCGTCGTCCGCCGTCGAAAATCGGGTAGGACCCTAAGGGACCCTATCGTCCTCCCACCGGTCCGCTATTTTCGAAGGGCGGAGAGCGAAAACGGTTCCTCCGTATACCGGAATAATTACCTAAAAGGGGAACTTACGGGAAGAGCGGGAGTGTAGACGTTGACGTAAAGACAATCTTCGTCTCCCGTCCGATGACCTCGAAAGTCGTACTGAGGACATTCCGACCTGAATCGAACGGCGTCCAGAATTCCTCCCCATCCGGCGTGAGGAATGGGTTCCTGTCGGAAGATTCGATATTTATTACTTTAAATTGACGTCGATCCGTCCGAGATAAATCGTTATCTTCGTTCGGAGTGTTTAATTAAAGGCAGATAAAACTACAGACAGACGTTATTAGGAAACGATCTCGTCATTCGTTAATTAATTAAAGGAATCTGGGGACATCCGAAAGAAACAGCAAATTCCGTCTTCTTTCTCGTCGGATAAACGAGTCTAACCGCCGCGTACGCTTACATACACGCATACATAAAGACAAAAGATTCGGGTTAAGTACTTCGGTCTTGGTATTCAGATGCCTTCGATCGACCCAGTTATTTTCGGTCTCGGTTTTCGATAATCGATATTAAATTCCAACCGCCCGACGGTTAATCGATTATCCGAAATATTCTCATTCGTTTCTTCGCGTTGTCCTTCGTCCTTTCGTGTCGAGAAGCGAATAACCGTCATTCCTTTTCCGACAGGAGTCGAGGTTCAAAGTTCGTAAATTCTCCGGATTCGAAGTCGAATACATCCGGTGAGAAACTGTCTCCAAGGGGGACGGAACCAATCTGAAGCAGTGATTCACCGCTGATACGGAGTCGGGACGTACAGTACTTCACTTCACTTCAATTCTTTTATTAAACACCCTGTAGGTGCATTCTCAGTACCGTTTAATACATAGCTGAGAGATATATGCACATTATTTATCAAAATATATTTCGCAGATGAAGAAACCGCTTAACATATTGTAAGTAAACAAAAGACGGCGGAGNAAATATGTTTTGCAATTTTGGCAGTTATACCATCAACGCCTGGAGATTTTCCTTCTTTTAGTCTGCCGATGGCGTTATTTATTTCCTGATAAGTAAACTGAGAAGAGTTACCAGTGTTCATATGTTTGTTTATGTTTTCTCTTAATGATCTCTGCCAAGGGGTGTCCTTTGCAGCGCAGTCTGAGATAGACGTACAGTACAGTATTTTGTAGCCGAAGATATTTACGATTATTATTATGTTAGAGTTTAAGAACGAAACGAGCATCTAAACGAACGTAGCGGGTAGCCGAAAATTACCCTCCTCTACCTCCGAGTGTAATTTAAAATCGTTTTCGTCCTATCTTTCGGTAGTTCGAAGGCGTTTCTAAGTCGCCGCGGGATAAGATAAAGGGGGTAACTCGAGATTACTACGTCGGAGATATAAATTTAAAGAATGAAGAGGAAGTGTGGTCGAGAAAAGTAGGGACCCTCAGTAAACGGTAGTAGAGAATAGGTTCTCCGAGAGGAAAACGGTCTTCTATGAGAGAGAAAATGGTGTGGGGTAGTTTTTAAACAATCGGAAGACGACGTAAACGTAATCGCTCGGGAGGAGAAGAACACCCTCTCCTCCGCTCTTTTTTGTGCTAGAAACGGGAATCGTACGCACCACCGGCTCGTATCTGCGATAGGTCGAGAGGGAGAGGAGTCCGTCGTCTTATTGTTCACATACAGTACAGTACGTGGACAATAGAAACTTATAAATCGGAAGTAACGAAACGCCCGTCGGGTCGTTCGGTTCGATTAACTCGGCAAATCTTAGTCACTTCTCTTCCTAATGTCGAATTCGACGTTATCCGGAAGACGTCATTCCGTCGACGGTTAGCTATTGGTTTATCGGGCGTCACCGTCCCCTTTTCTTTCTCTTCAAGTCAGAAATTTTTCTCCTTCCTGTCGAAGAATTCTTTAAAAATTCCGAAGGATTTTCCTCCGGAAATTCTTAAAGAAAAATCTGCTTTTACGGAAGAAAGAGTTTTTGTGTTTGGGTGGAAGGCGCAGTATTTTCTTCCTTCTCCGATAGGAAGCGATAATTTATAATAAATATTTATTTATTTAAAACAAATTAGAGAGTTCGACGACGTTTCCGAGAGACTTAATCCTCTTCTCGACCGCTATAATCCGTAAATCTTTTCCGCATTCCAATCACTTCTAAAAATAAACTCGGCCTTCCTCAATAATTTCGATAGCCCATTCTCTTCTTTTTTCCCCCTTCTCTTCCTTCGTCGCTCCGGACGTTTACGTTCGATAATCGAAAGCGAGGAATTAGGAAAAGGGTCCGCAGTCGTCCCTCGAGTTGACGAGGAACAAAGGTTTGGAATAAAGACCCCTCGAGTGTCCATCGTTTGCTCGTCACAGATTTATCAGGCAAGCTTTAAAACGCATTCTTCTCGAGATCCCTTAGTTTCCAAGCTCTATTCTATTCTCTATTCTCATAATTCATACGGAGGATCATCCTGTTTAGCTTTGTTTCTCCGATGAGCCGGCCGAAGTTTATTGCTTGGCCATACGCGGGGAGCGGGTCTTTTAAGGGTAACTGGCCCCTATTCAGGCGTTACAGACGTGGAGAAAACCCGGAAAACTCCATGTGGCCCACCCGTCCTGGCCAGGCCCAAACCCACGACGGAACTCTCATTGTTCAGGGAACGGTTTGCCAACGCCGTTATAATCGTTATAATTCGTATCTAAACCTATATTTCTAGTATCTACTTGGAAGGGAAAATTCCAGTTATAATAATAATAATAAACGTAGGGAAATTGCATCACTCTGACATCATTACATCATCAATGACACAAGCATTCTCTCAGTCTTAATTACATACACCAAGTTCTAATATCGTTTATAATTTCAATAAAACACGGAAGCGATATTCATTTTATTTTCTCGGCTCTGTTAAATAAAACAGAGAGAAAGTATGGCGATCGGTCGAAAAATAATCTCCCCCACAAGATTAATTCGGGCGTGTTTACTGTATGTGTGGATGTTAATGTGTGTGTGAGACACTATTCACTTTGAAGCTTAATAACTCCCGTGCGTTTAGTCGAAAACTTTTAAAATTTTGCAGGGAATATTGTGTATTAAGGGGGATTACTGCTATTAAATTTGATGGTTAAAGGTCAGCGGGTTGGGGAAATACAAGAGGTCGTGTGTTATACCTCGAGTAGGGTCGGAGTTATGACGATTTTACTCGTTATTAGAATGTATAATTTTAATAAAACTCATCCCTACCCTGAAAAGTAAGCTTTTTGCCACTTTATAATAATTAAAAGTATAAAAAGTTTTTTTTTTTTTAAATAAGATATTATAACAGATTACTCAACACGCAGTTTTAAATGTTGCCGGAAAAGTTAAGCAACTGGTGCGGAATTTTTTAGAGTGTAGTTCTGGAGTCATATCTACCAGTATATATAAATGTAATTCTATCAACGATAATTGTTCCAAGCATTAAAGTGGATCGTCTCCGCCTACTTTTATTGTTTAATTAGTCGTTGTTCTGACAAATTATATTATCCACCCATCGCTTGCTTCTATTACATATATTTTTTTCTGTAAGTACAGTTTTTCCTCCTGAAATAAGATCAAAGATCCTATAAATACTTATTGTAACAAAGGCAAAATTACAGTCGACCCCCTATAACACTGTTAATTATTCCGTTTTATATGAATTCCATGTTGTAGGAGTCACTTAGATTTTACAAATACGTGTGTCGGGCTGTGAACGGCTCACGTATTTGTAAAATCTAAGTGACTCGTACAACATGGATTTCATATAAAATGGAATAATCAACAGTGTTATAGGGGGGTCGACTGGTACTTATTATGCAATGGGAAAGGGAAAAGTTTTCGTATCTTGGGGGAAACCGTCAGAAAGGAAAATTCTATGTAAAATTTAAAGAGTTTTTAATGGAGTTTATCCAATGGAGAACAATTTTGTTAAAGACACTATTATTATTATTAAAACTGGCGGAGATATAGCGATTAGGAAATGCAGAAGTCGAATTTAATCGTTTAACAGTCGTCACTTCATCGGGTAGCCTATTATAAAGTTAATAAGTCGTTTGGAGAGAACGTTCCTCTTTTGTCGGCGACAGATTACCCGAGTAATTTGCTCGATCGTCGCACTTATGCAAAGTGTCTAATTGGTTACGCCCGACTTACCACACAAAGAACGGAGAGAGTGGTCGTCTCGGCGTATTGTGACGAAACAGAACCTTCGACCGGAACGAAACGTCCGTCCGACGATAAAAACGCTTACGATTAAAAGTTGTTTTGGTTTTGGATCCAAAGAAAATAAAAAACCTTCGGATGTTGGGGGAAATGACATCTTCGATCGATCTCGGACGAGACACGCCGAACGATTATCGACTTAAAATTACGTCGTGTACTGTACAAGCCCCGAATGCTACGACGTGTTGTGGAGAACCGACCGGAGGGAGTCGTTTTTCAAAAAGTTTTGACCGGGATTGGAAGGGAAAGGAAGTCCAACGTTCTATTTTTCTTCCTTGCCACCATCGATCGTCGGGGGAGAGCAGCCGCAAGCGGCTATAATTAAGCGAAGGACGAGGAACGGCGACGGATCCCTCCGCCCGAACCCGTGTTTTCCTTTGTCCACGGTAAACCCAAGAGGTAGATGGATGGATTTGGGAGAGCGGAAGACCGTTTCCCGGCGATTCTATGGAAAGAGTGGTGGTTTCCGGATGGGATGAAAACGTGGGAGGGAGGGAATTTCGGTCGAGCGTTGATCCCAGCCGGAGGAAGGACCGCGTCGCCAGTCGCTATCCTTCACCCGGGACCGTTTCCGCCGATCGTTAATCGCGATTTCGTCATTAATGGCGTGGAGAGGAAGCGGACGGCCGCTGGCGTGCCGGGTCGAAAGCTCTCTTTAATGTTATCTCCCTCTTTTCTTTCTTATCGTCCCGTCTACTCCGCACCGATTTTTAACGGACAATTCGTAAGAGGAATGTGCCGTTTAAACCGGAAATGGAATTCGATTTCACCCCTTAAGTGTCTCTCTCTCTCTTCTCCCCTTCCACCACCAGCATCGCGCTTTTCTACTTCGGTTTGCCGTTCAAACGGAAACGGAAGTGACGACGTTTCGTAATCGTTTAGCCCCTATTATAGCCGGTGCGATAATATTTAAAAACCTAAAACACGTTACCTTTAGTCGTTATCTTTAAACAAACGAAGTGGAAACTAAATTTTCTAATAATTA